TACCAACCATAGAGTGTGACGCAGGTGTCGTTATACGTAATCGAGCGCGGGAAAATTTCATTTGGAACTCGAATCGAAGTTAGTGTGTGGGTATAGGTACCCATTCTGCGGTGTGTCGAAGCGAAAAGCGATTGGAAAGTTGGGCCCGCGGAGGAAAGGAGAAGGGCGATCGACTGCTCCTGCGGTAACACCTTGTGGCTGTGTGAGAGTGTTCCCATACATGGCACGGAAATTAACGTCCAACTATTTTTGTGACAGCGCGGGCATTGCTCTCAATGTACCTTTTTTTCTCTCTCTCTCTCTTTCTCTTTTTGTAGATGTAACAAAATAAAAAATTTCATAAAAAATCCCATTAATTGGCACAAGCTCGAATTATATGCATCGGGTTTTTTGTCCACTTGAACACGAGCTTAAATATATTACTTCGATCGCATGTATAGGAAAATGAATAATAAGTATATAGCTTATGGAGGAAGGGTGAAAAAGTAACCCAATCGTTTTTAAATTGTTAACTCCAGGTATCCTATGTGCACGCTCTTCCAAATGGTCCTATCCAAATCTACTTTTTGATGAAATACACAGTACCACCGTGAAAGTATTATAAAAAAAGGGGCAAAACCGTAGCAACATCAAGTTTTCTTGTAAATGTACTCGACTCGGTGAGGCTGCATACAGATTCTTTTTTACTCCTCGGTCTCGCGAGATACAATAATCCGATAGGCAGATGTGTACGGATGTGTGTATATCTTGTATAGTCTCGCGGGACTGAAAGGGATAAGTATACGGAGAACCGCCTTGTTCTCCCGCACTTGTTGTTCCTCCACTGTATACCAATATACGCACGATTTTGTTGACAGCAAACTCGGATGTTCATCACGGAGTCCAGTGAAAAATGTGGATTTCTGATTGAAAAAAAAAAAAAAAAAAAAAAAAAATCAGTAATATTCTCTTGTCACGCACCTCTCGTCCCCATATAATCATTACACCCGGTGCTTCAGAGACAACCTCCATAGGTGCGTATAGCACACGCGATATCGTCACTCGCGCAGAGGCACGCAGTAAACCCGTAACTCGATTCACCCGACAAACAACCGCACTCCCGCGACAGCTGCGGCACGAGCGGTCATACCGTATAATATATACACCCATCATCTGGCCGGACCGTGGCTATACGTATATGTAGGTGTAAGTGTGTATTATATACGAAGTAGACAGGGTAATTTTCAGGACATCCCAAGCCCGGGGGAATGTGACAGCAGTGCCGACCACGCGGTGCCTCCCCAACGACAATCTCTCTGTTGTACCGTGATGGCTTTCATGTGTATTGTGTATACACGGAGGGAAAAATCATGGAGCTAACGCTTAGCGTCCATGAAAGTGCCCCCCCTTTTTTGAACCTATGTGATTGGCTCATGACGCGTGCGCCTTTAACGCATGTAAGCTATAGCCCACAAGCATAAGCGCTAGGCCCAAAGCAAGCGCATAAGTATACATACTTATGCGCTTGCTTTGGGCCTAGCGCTTATGCTTGTGGGCTATTGGCCAGGTGCATGTCATGCAGCGCCACCCTTGGTATCAAAATCGTGCAACCGCGGGTACCCACATACCCACATTATACGTCAACAGCATACACCGATGCACACTTTTAGGAATAATTAATTAATTAGAAAAAAATTAGTGTATTTATTCATCTGATAATGGATGTTATCATAAAAACAGGCTTTAGGAATATCACACACTAGATTTGTTTTAACTCTGAAGCCTTAAAAAAAGGTAAACAGTTGGTTGAAAGTAGTCATGTGTGCGATTTTACAGAATTGCATAGTAATGAAGTTAGCAATTTGACAAGTGCCGTCGTAATAAGGCAGACCTCGGTTACTTCAGCTCCTTACAAAGTTAACCTGCATGTACGTTTTATTTAGATTATTTTGAAAATTGTCTAAGTTGCAATGCACATGAAAATTACCTTTATTTACAGTTGGATAATCATCGAAGTTTATGTAATTTTACTCTATCTGTCTTTGCGCTACTGATACACTGAACAACACAGCACTTTCTTACACCCACATATCATAAACGTTTAAATAATAGAAATCACAATGATCATGTCTTATTTCGCGTAATTATCTTTCTTTTTGCCGTCTGTTTCTGAGAGTGTGCTCTGGATCGAAAACTAACGAGGCTTCATTAATAAGTATGTTGTTACATTCAAACATTTTACAACCGTTCTTGGCACCACATAGTTCATTTTTTTACATTTGTGTAACTACAATTTCATAATATTGATACCATTCATGCATACGTGATGATAAAATCTGTAAATTTGATGAGATACTGTTATTCTTTCCTTAATTAAGCAAAAATTACAGTAATTTGGTACCTCAGGTTTCCTGTTTTTGCCACTACGCACGTTGGCGTCGACTCATCTATCCCCTCCCATCACTTGCACCTGGCCAATAGCTTACATGCGTTAAAGGCACACACGTCATGAGCCAATCACATAGGTTCAAAAAAAGGGGGGGGGGCACTTCCATCGCCGCTAAGCGTTAGCTCCATGATTTTTCCCTCCGTGTACGTACATAGCGTTGCTTGAAGCTGTTGACGGACTCGTGTATATATATATATATATACATGTACTCTTGCGTGTGCTGTATTATCTTGTTCTTTTTTTTTTTTTACCACCACCTCGAATGGTGACGATGATGATGATGATGCTCCTTATTCGTGCAGTATAATGATAACAATATATAAACTGGTGTATACCGGCGCGTCGTCGGGCGCGTGGGTGCAGCAGCTACTCCTCTCTGCTCTTGGCGTCCGATCGATAAAACCTGCCTGCCTCCACCGCGACGCTTATACTTCGTGTCCTGGTGTCTCCTGCTCCCTCCCTTACTTTTATACTCACTCTCATTCGATTCGGTCACGTGAGCCAAGGAGTCAGACTCCACTGCTGTTTTTTCTCCTGCACGTCTATACCCTATGTATGTATATATGTATACACACTGTATACTGTCTATACTCTTGCATGTGCACGAGAAAAAAAATAATCAAGTTGGCCCGAGTGCACAACCTCTTTCTTTTTCCTCCTCCTCCTCCTTTGTCGCGACCTTTTTTTTTTCAGGTTCAGTTGGGTGTGGTAGGTACAGCACAACGCAAGGGGGACGCTTTTTTCGAGATTTAATTTGAAACGCGGCCAATGACCTTTGGCTCGGTTTGTTGCTCTGTACGCGCAGTTTTTTCTTTTTTTTTTTTTTTCCAGCTCTCCGCGCCCCTTTTCGACCGCGAGGGTACATTACATTATTTATGTAACCATATGTATATATATTGTATACGCATAACGCCATTACTTCGCTATAAAGTTTACGATTTAATGAGCTTTTAATGAACAAATATTATTATATTCTGCTTCCATTGAGAGCCGCCTGTAAATATAACCATTCGAGCATGCGGCGTATGTTATATAAATCACCGTTTACGTATTATAATGTATACATTTTGAAGGATTACGTTTAAATGGTTGTTGAATGTACCCGTACAATATACATGTATTAATAATAAATTTCCAATATGCGCTATTGAGGATAATATAGTAATGTATACGCTACGCTCGCTAATATACGCCATACGTGTGCATATCACAATTTATTATGGATGATACGTTGATTTACGAATTTTTTCATTTTTTTATTTTTCCATCGGAATAATGTATTCGTCGCTTGTCCACGTGCCACCCGACATGATTAATTTGCTCTCAACGCCCACAATATCAGATGTCATGCGCCGCGAAAAGAGAACAAAGCGAGAGAGAGAGAGAGAGACAGAAANCCTCAGAGATACATGTTCACTATCTTTATTAAAAAAGTTACAGAGAACAAAATATTTATATAAATTTTTTACAATGTAGAGAATAAGTTACACAATAGTTTGTACATAGGCTCTTATATATTATATTGAACATGGGCTTTTATATACAGCCCAACCTGAACTTGGATACACTTTTAAACTTTTAAATTGCAGTTCTTAAAGAACTCGCTAATAATGAGGCACGCTTTTACATTTGGTTTGTACAGAATGCTGTCAATATTAAGTGGTAAAAGCAATTTTAGTTTAAGTAGTTTTTTTATCATGGGGGCTTTTTAGGCCTCATATGTATTACAATTAAATATGACATGATTCAAATCTTCAGATTCGTAACCGCACTTACACCTAGGATCAGATACCATATTGTTTCAGTGCAAAAATTCAGCTAGACTGTAGTGATTAGCACGCATTCTGTTAATTGTGACAATGTCTCTTCGGGATACGAGAAACGCGAATTTGATTGGGAGTATTTAGAGTGATATTAGCTACATATATAGCATATAGTAATGGGCTTAGCATAGCGCCTTGTGGAACTCCTCTGTAAGAAAAGCGATAGTCATGACAATTATTATCTGAAAAACTTTTCTCACTCTAGTTATAAATGAGACAAATTTGATTGTCAAGTATGAGACCCCTAGGTTGGCAAGTTGATTGAGCAAGATATCAATATTTACGTGATCAAAAGCGCCAGCTACATCAAGAAAGACCGCGTGAACATCTTTCTTGTTTGATAAGGCTTCTTCGATGGTGAGGACCAGATTTGTCAAGTTATCTGTGCACGAGTGCCCTTTTCTAAACCCATGTTGACTAGTGGGGATAACATTGTTAACTTCAGCCCACCATTGGAGACTGTTCTTGACCATGGTTTTAAGCAGCTTACATACACAAGAAGTTAGGGAGATAGGTCTGAGACCTCCATTCGATTTTTTGATGAAGAGAACATAGACTGAAGTCCATTGATCTGGGTAGTTTCCAGAAATGCACATAGAGTTGAGTATATCCAGTAACAGTAGTTTATAATTGATGGGTAGTTTTTGGAGGATATCAAAACTAATTTTGTTCATACCTGGGGAAGATTTAGGGTTTTTGGAGTCAAGGGCTATATTCAGTTCGATGAAAGAGAATTGAGAATCGAGAAAATGGTCAGAGGAACAGTTGGGGAGGTTACTTGGGTCGGTCTGAACCCATGGGGGACAAATCCGACTGATAGAGGACAATATAAATTCGCGGTCAGTTTGAAGGTGGTTAGAGACATGATTGATATTTTTCATAACTCTGCACCTATTCCACACATAGGATGGGTTAGTCCTAAAATCAATATTTTCCGCAAATGTGCGAAATGAATTTTTCTTTTTAGATTTAATTAAACTTTTGGCTGCCGCAGATCTTCTATTGAATTCAATTAGGTCGTCTGGATTTAAAGTATAGCAGAATCTTTTAAAGCCTGTAGTTTTTAACCTAGGCACACGGTCACACTCCTCGTCCCACCAAGGAACAGGGTTGATGTGCTCACGGCGGGATACGGTCTTTTTGAGCTCTGTTTATCCAAAGATTTAAAACTATTTCTCTAGATTTTTCAAGCGATAACAGCAGCTCAAAAAGATTGTGTCTCACAACGTATCAAAAGTTTTTACCAAACTCACAATATATAAATAGAGTATCGCTTGCGCGCCAATCTATCGAGTATCTAGCCCNTTTTTTTTATTTAAATTATAGTGCTCTACGTCCGGCTCCTTTTAATAAGGGCACTACTATGGTCACTTAGCACTTTGGAGAAGGAAGGGAAGAGGGATGGGAGGCCTCCCGTTACTGGGAGGGGGGTAGGGGGAAATTAGGCAATTTATGCTGCGAGGAGGTCGTCTAAACCCTCCTCGAGGAGCATTGCGTGGTGAAAAAGTCGTATATATATTTAGTTGGAGCTACAACGTGGTACACGCTGTATGCTATCCCCCCCCCCACCCACGTGGGCTAACGACCGAGTTAACGGGGTGTTGCATTAAATTTTTTCTTCTTCTCAGTATTACCAAAGTTGTATCACGTATACGCTTCGAAAGGTAAAGAATGCTCTTTTCGTCCTATTAACCGAATACGTTGTGAATCCTTCTGGGAAAAAAAGGGAGAAAACCCCTCGTCTCCCAAAAAATTAGGAGCCCATATCCATGGCCAAGACGACCAATCGTAGAAATCCCAGTGGTAGTAAGTACATGCAGCAGCAGCTCGTTTTCCTTAACAACGTGCCAGCGCCCGCATCTTCACCGACGCAAGGGGTTATCGCACAGCTCCTCCTCCTTAACGCATAACCATTATACAATATATATATATATATATATATATATATATATATATATACGTACACACACCCCGTAAACGCACTCACGCACACAGTGTATTGATACTATGTATATACCTTTGCCTCGTATCCAGCAAGGTGGGGCACTCAAGGGTGTACGTATATACACGAATACGTGTACGGGTGCGCGAGCAAGGGAGAGAGTACAGAGCTCCACCGTACCCTCGCCGTCGTCATGGTAACCTCGTTCCAGAGAGCGTCCCGGCGTCGTTTGCGCGGCGCTCGATATCCCTTGCTGCTGCAGACGCCGCCCAAATCCGGCTGGGCTGCTGTGATGATGCTCTTTCTTTCCACCGCCCTCTTATATATATATACCGTGTTTCCCCCCCCTGCATATACACACACATGTACATTATATGTACAACATCTCGAGTGCACACGCCTATATATATATGTATCTCATGGCAAATTTTTCAAACGTCCTCTTGTGTGTGCCCACAGAGGAAGAAGTGGTCCTTCAGGTCGATCAGCTTCGGTAAGAAGGACAAGAGCAAACCAGTGATCGACGCAGCGCCGAAGAACGGAGACGTCGCCGAGGAGATGCCGCTCACGGAGGTAAGTCCCCTCCTCCCAGCCTCTATGTATTTATCCTCCTTTTTTTTTTACACCCAAGTTGTTATTGTTATTTTCAATCTTTCAATTTTCACCGATAAACCACTCGCGGTGTGTAAACGAGTCGAACGAGATAAACCACGCAAAGGGGGGGGGGGTATAAAAAAGAGAGATACATAAATATTTCCCCTCGGACTTTTATATCGGTAATTTAATGCACTCGCGGAGTTGCATTATTTACTGCTCCCTCTCTCGTATCTCCGGAGCCCCCACGCGAGTGATTTCTTCCCGGAGTCGTAAACAACTCTCTCTGAGCTAGAGATTTTATTTCCCCCCCCCCCCAGCCCTCCTTCAACCATTACCCATTGAAACTTGGAGCTATGTGAACGAGGTTTAATTAAAAACACACCGTAAAAATGGTCGCCAGATTAGCAGGAGTATTTTTCGTCAAGAACTATTAAAGGTGGAACAAAAAGAAAACCTCACGTCGGACACATATACCTATAGCAAAGAGGTATGTACCACGACAGAGGCTCGGGTGTCTCGCCTCGGTAAGAGGGAGCCGGTGATGCTAATTAAATACACGCGCGGTAAGATATGTATAGGAGGTGGCGCCTACGCAAGTGGAGCAGCCTTTCGTACAAAGGAGGTGCTCCGCGTGTCCCTTTCCACGTATATCCATACACTTGATGTCCGCTTTTCCGCCGCGTGTAGGGTATATATGTATAACAAAGAGAAACAAGAGGAGCTATTCGATATGGAGAATCAAATCCCTGGCCGCCTGCACCAGAGAGGACATGTTATACCGAGCCTATGGATAAATTCGTGATTTACAATCAAAGTTAACGAGCGTGAGAATGAGTTTTTTTTTTTTTTTTTCCTCAAACGCTTTTACACTCGCATGTATAATAGTACTCGCCATTCGGTCCGGTTGGCCGGTGGAGTAATTAACGCTCGTCATGCGCATCCGTAGAATTTATGATCCATTCGACGCTCGAAATCACACTCGTATAATATACCTACGCGTTTACGTCTTGCGCGTCGGTTGTTCCATATCGTATAGCTTAAAATTATTACCTTATGGTCCCATTTTTTTTTTTTTTTTTTTTTTTCTTACATGGTCCGCAAACCATACAAATGTACCGAGATAAATCATCGACATCCATATCCCGAAAGCGATGATATTGTATATATTGGCGGCCGCGGAAGCGGCATCGTTAACCCGCCACACTTGTATATATGGGTAACTTTAACGCGCCCGAGAGAGTTATCGCGGACACGCGCGCCCGTGCACGTAAGCGCCGCGAAAGAACAACGCGTGCCGAGAGGGAAACACGCCCACGCGCTCTACACTGTGTACATGTATGGGTTGTTTTAAGCTGCATATATACGTTATCGATCGGGGCGCGCGATTTGCGCTTCCTTCTCCTTGTGTATTGGTGTAGGGATTCGCAAGTGTGATACAATATTTTACGCTCATATGTATATGCACACATTGTGTCACTTTCGACCGAGTGAAAAGTATACATGTATGCACTTGTGACAAATTTTTGCTTTACAATTGGTTATTGTGAAATTTATGATTTTTTTCTTCGTTTCATTTTCGTCACCACTTGCACTACTTGATTATTATTCAGCAAAGTGCAAAAAATAAGGCACCGCATTAATCACAGGACGCGAAATGTTTAACTATATACATTAATGGTAATTTTTTCCCGTTTATTTTTATTGCGTAGTAAAAATGTTTGCTGAGTTTTTACTTGCTAAATGTGTACGACAGCGCTATTTCTCTCTTAAAATGTTCAGACGGTAATTAAAATCCTAATGTCGCGTCGTTACACTGCGAGTTTCAAAGCCGCAATCAACGTTAATTGCATTCCGCGCTGGCGCGTTTGACACTTGATTTTCCGCAACTCGGTCAACTCGTCGACGCGAGCATCACTACACCATGAATCCCGCGTACATCTACGTACATTTGCGAAACAATCCGCAGCTACCCACTTGCGTTTAATATCGTATAATGGGGTATGAATATACTATCGCCGACTCGGGACATGGTATATATCAGATGTATTAAGTATAGCTGATGCGTGCACGTATATATACGACATGAACGAGTTTATCCTTTCCGCTTCTTCTTCTTCTTCGTCTTCGAATGAAATACAAGCTCGTGTAAAAGCTCGAAAACTCGCCAAAGCGCTAGTGGGTACAAAATAAAAAAGGAGAGCTGAACGTGAATCATAACCACCCCACACTCTCCCACCCCGAGTATATATAATGTACATATAACTTCAAAGCAAACGTATATAAAAACACGAGACGGCACGTCACCGCAGCACGGGTTTTATCACCATTGCGGGAAAAAGTAATGTGCCAAACTAATACGTACGTCCGTGGGTCGCGCCCTGAACTTATATACTCGTGTATACGGAAAGGAAAAGATAAGCATCAGACGCGTGTTTGTGTGTACAAAACTTGGACTTGTTTACGAGCTTGTGGTTAGAAAAATGAAATAAAGAAAAAAGGTACGCCGGATATATTTATATACCAGCTGTGGTACTTTGAGGGGTGCGCGCACGTGGTGTCGTAAAAAAATATAAGGGGGAGGGCCCCGCGCACGCGTCCATCGGTGGGGCAGGAAGGGTCGTCGTGGTATATATATATACACGATACGTGTACATTGTCGCGAAAAAAAAACGAGCCTAAAATTCATTACTATACGATAGACTCGTTCCATAGACACTTTGATAATAATATAGTACGCGTCACGGAGCAGGTTGTATATGAAAATCCCGTCCCTGCCCACGAAGAACCGCAACTCTCGGTAATCTCGCAATAATACGCGGACTCGAGTGCCCTGCCCTGATAACGCCATTACAATCTATAAGGAAGGTAAGGTCGACCGGTTGTTGCTGCAGAGCAAGTTTTTTTTTTCTTCTTCCCCCTACCCCCTCTATCTCTTGTGATATTGCGCGTCTCCCCCGGATACAATAAATTACTTGTGTATATACCTACGTATGCTTTTCGTGCTTGAAACACTCTATGTATATGAAGTGAAAAAAATATAAATGCGATCGCTGACCTTTTGCTGGGTACCCTTGTGTGTATAATATGTATGCGTGTTACGTAGGTGTATGGCGAGTTTTCACCGCAAACGAGCAAACGGTGCCTTTTGTGTTTCATTGTGTTGGAGGGGCTCGAAGGAAATCGCATGCACCGTTGTCGGGAAAATCGATAGCATCGCTCGTATGATTTTTTACAACTCTCCGGGCGTGTACGGTTAACGGCGAACTGTATGAAACTAGATGAGGGGAAAAAAAAAAGTAAGTAAAAACCCACCGACCCGTGGTGGACGAGGTGCGTCGCGCATTGTGCAGTGCCGCGTGATGATGAAAGGGTGATGGTCGGAGGAAACGAATGTAAAAACAAAGGGTGTAGATGTGTGTGCAAAGACGGAAAATCGATAATTGCGCGGAGATAAGCTCGGTCTCTGTGGTGAAAAAAAAAA